AGTAGTTTATAATCTAATGGTGATTCATAATAATTCCTGCCCTTTAAAAAGGAGGCAAGGGGAAATCTCTTCCATCCAGAATCCAGGTTTTTGCTCTTTTCTGGCTTTTGGTTGACTACTCCTGCTGAGAATAACTGGCTACAGCAGGTCCTGCCTGACCCAACTTCTCATCATTGACTTTTCTTAGGTAGCACAGTGGATAGAGCACTGTGCTTAGAATCAGAAAGATTCATCTTCCCAAATTCCAATCAGGCTGCAGAAACTTAACTAAGCTGTGTGACCTTGGGCAAGTCAATTAAAACCCTGTTTGCCTCAGTTTCCTTATCTGTAAAATGAGCTGGAGAAGGAAATGGCAAACCACTCCAATATCTTTGCCAAGAAAGCACTAAATAGGGTTACCAAGAGTCAAACATGGCCAAAAACAACTGAACGAAAACTACTCACTGAACTAGGATTCAACAGCACATCTTCGAGGACCATCACCACGAGCACATGGATCATCCACTACCAGCTATTAGTCTAAATGCAAGGGGCCTGAAGTCCAAGAAGAATCATTTTTGCCTTTTGTACCATTTCATCTTAAGGAAACAGATCTCTGCCACTGCACCTAGTGATTTCAGTGACAGGTCTTACAAAGACATGGCCAGGCTGAGTCTGACACCATCAGACTAACAAATCCCAACTAGGAAGGGGTTGGAATGATGAAGAAGGATATGAAAGGCACTGAAAATGTGAAGCTCACACACTAGAAGGAGCTCTACTGTTAGCTGGCTACCCAGCCAGATGTTGTACTAGCCCAGGCCATTTGAACATTGTCACTCTTGCCCTTACCCTTAAGTCTTTTCTCTAAGATACAAACAACAACAAACTCAACCCTAAACACTTGAGATTCTTGGCCAAATAGATGAAGGACATTTCTACAACTGGTAGTTTCCAAAGCTAATCCAAAATTTTCCAAAGCTAATTTCTCAGAAAGAGAAAAGGGGGAAAATGCTACTGTATTTAATGTTCTCATATAAAGCACATTTCATTTGAATTCTAGTTTTGTCATTTAGGCCCTTTCTAAAAGGGAATTGCAGCATTGATTAATTTAAGTCAAATTAAGGCTCTGTGGTAATCACCAAGTGACACAAAGAAAAACAGGAGACAATCCTTGCCTTCAAAGAGCTCACAGTCTAATGATAATTCAGAGACTACCCCACACACGAAAGTGTCTGGACCACAGTAACCAATGGGAAAATCAGATACATGGATAAAGTGTGGGGGTTTGCACTGAGCCCCAGGGGTTAGAGAATTTAGAGACAAGGGATTACAGGAGGTTAAGAAGTCTAACACACTCAGGTACACCAAGCTGTCCAAGAACTGAGGCTGGGGTACAGAGAGAAAAGAAAGACTTCTGCTCTGCTTTTTAATATAGGCTTGTACAGATACAAAGGTCACCCTCCCACCCACCCCTAGCGCAACCCTCCCTCCCTCCCCAACAAAAAGTTATTATGAGTCTGCCCTTCCCCCAGGCTATACAGCCTTGGAGATTTTGAAATAAGCATCATCAACATTTTCTACTTCTGGCTGCCAGGAATTGTTAATGGCCCCAAGCACCCGCCTGTACAACCCCCTAAAAGCCACTAGGACACATGAAACATAACAATAGCCTCATACAACAATAACCACAGCCAGCAGGACTCCATTCTCTCTCTACTCCTCATCCCCATCCCAGCCCTAGCCACCATACAAATGCGATGTTATAATTCAGAACTCGCTTGCAGCTCAGAAGCAGGGGAATGGGGAGAGGGGGTCATACATCCTTCACAACCACCTGAGCCCAGGAGGCAAAAGGAAAAGTCAATGCTTTGCACCCAGATTGACCTTGACCTGTGCCACCACCAGTCTGACGCTTGCCTTGCTATCCAAGTTGACAGTGGAGTTTCCCCTCTCTGTGTGTGAGCCTCACATTTCTAAGACCCTTCATTTTTTTTCATCATTTTAACCCTCTAGTACAGGGGGTTTTTAGCCTTTTTTGTATGTAAAGAACTCCTTTTGTCATGGTTACATGGATCGCTTCTCAAGAATGTTTTGTTGCTTACATTTATAACTGAAGAAAATCCTAATTTTAATTAGAGGTTAGTAAAAATAAAAATGGAAAAATTTTCTCCATCCAAGTTCTCTGACTCCCTTGAAATCTACTCATGGACCCAATTAAGAACGCCTGTCCTAGTATAAGAGTATGGTGAGCTAATCCTTCTTAATGACAATCTGTCATTCAAGGAGAAAGCTCCCCACAGGTTGCCTCTCCCTGATATTGGGGGTATTTGTACCCTGACTACAAGTTCTAGGTTTGCATACAAGTCAGGCCTTCTGGAGTCTGGCTTCTAAATAAAAGCATAGTATAGTGGACAGCACTGGACAACCATCCAGAAGAACTGAGTTCAAATCTTGTCTCAGATACTGTGGAAGTGCCCCATTAATCTCAGGAGTACTTCCACAGTACTTGCCTATTAGCTCTGTGACCCTGGGCAAGTCACTCAACCTTTCTGAACTTGAGCTTCCCTATCTGTAAAATGGAGATAATTATCGCACCTGTCTTTTAGGTAGTGACGATTAAATGAAATAATGTCTGTAAAATGATTTGCAAACCTCAAAGCACATCTCCCATACCCTAAAGCAAGGGTTCTTAATTTTTGTGTCATTGACCCCTTTTAGCAACCTGGTGAAGCCTACTTAGTTATTCTCAGAATAAATGTTTTTAAATGCATAAAATAAATACATAGGATTACATAGGAATTCAATGATATGGAAATACACTCATCAACATACTAAAAAACAACTACTCAGACTTGAGGGTAAGAACCCCTGCTAAACTGACAAGCAAAAGCCAAGATGAGGCAGGGAATAAGCTGCTTTATAATCTTATACCTCATACTCTTTCTAACCAGGAGACACTCAGTCCCTTTGGGCCAGGCGATAGTACCCTGGGAAAGCTTACACAATTGTTCCTCAGGCTGGACCAGTCCTTCAGGGACAGAAATTTAGCCTCCAGGGCTGTCAGGCTCTAAGGCTGCTCACCCACATCATGGTCACAAAGAGAAGAAAATGGAAAGAAAAACTTCAGAGAATAAAGATTCAGCCCACTTGTAGGAAGATAGAGAAGCTAAGCGAAAGGAGTTCTGAGACCAGTTCTACAAGAGGGTCTCAGAAAGACAAGATAAATACAAAGAGTCCCCACTCCCATAAACAAGAAACACAAAGAACTTGGCCTGGGGGTTCTTTCTGCCTAGATATCTTATCTTAGGCAATTCACTGCCCTTTTCAGAGACTGGGTTTCCTCCACAATCAACAAGAGGAGATGGAATTGATTTGAAGGGAAGCAAAAAGCTGATTCTTCATCAGATCTTCTCTGGACCAGATATCCAGCCAGCCAACCAGCACTCACCTTCACCCTCACCCTCAGCCTGACTGTAATCCAATTTAGCTGAAAAAATAGCTGCTCCCCTGCTTTCCCTAACTTTTCAGAAAGTAATTCAGAGAGGACCCTGTGGGGAAGCAAGGAACATAGCTCATCTAAGATAGGTAAAGAAAGAAGTAAGGTATAAAATCTAAAAGAAATTGGTGCATAGAAGAATCCTTCCTCTGACAACCAAAAGATCCCGGCAGCCATGCTCTTTCTTAGAGTGTAAAGCCGGCTGTGGAAAGCAGTTTAACTAACCAAGAGAGAAACACCTCTATTTTAAAAAGTCATAGCTCTGCCCCTTTATCATTTGCAAAAAGGGGCATTTGTTAACATTTGTAAACGGTGTTAACAGGCTAGTTGGGAGAAAAGCAAACAGAAAGGGAAATGAGATAAACAAGATGTTAAAGTCCAGAGGGGAGATCTGGGATCCAAAGAAAGTGGCCCCTCCCACACACTCGCACTTTACCCTTGAAGGTTCCCTGGGTAGCTTGGGGTGCTATCCTTGCCGGGAGGGGAGATGGTGGTGGTTGACCACTGGTGAGGAGCAGGGGGTCTCCAGCTGTATTAGGGCAGGGTGGGGAAAGGGGACCTTTGTGGCTGGGAGATAACAGGGGCTTACCTTTCCCACTAGCAGCCTGGGAAGGAGGAGGCTGGTGAGCCCTGTCCCAAGGGAGGCGGACGGGTCCCTGCATCCTGGGAGCTAGACCACGGGAAGAGGCAGCACCACATGCCAGCGCCCCCTAGGAGCGTGCGGCCACTACGATGACCCAGAAGCTGCCCAGGGCAGGAGTTACCCGAAGTAGGAAAAGCACTCAGCAGGCGCCCCAGACCTTCCCCACCTATCCCCTTTTCCCTGACTACTCCCGAGCCTAGTCACTGGGGCCGAGGGATGATCTCATCTCAGCAAATCAGACCTGGGAAGGAACTCCGAAAAGGAGTGAGGCTAGGGTCCTGATCGCTCTTGCCACGGTAGTCCAAGGGCTCGCTCTTTTGGTCACCAAGTTCCCTGGGCCACTTCTGGGCTACTGCTCCCGGAGCCTCGCTTTGGGGACCTTGCCCAGCTTCTAGGTGCCGAAGGAAGAGGGCCGGCAGGCGCAAAAGATTAACCGCCGGGCACATCCCTGGACCCCAGACCTCGGACCCCAGTCCCCCCCCAGAGCCGGCGCCCGCAGCAGCAGCTCCCGGGGCCCGCCGGCTGTGTTTGTAAACAAACCGGTCACGTGGCGCTCTGGGCGACCAGTTCCCCCCAAGCCCCGGAGCTCAGCTCCCCGCGCCCAGCTCCAGAACCTGGAGGCGCGAGAGCCAGCACGGCAAACTGAGGCACTGACGGCCTCGACCACGGTGCCTGGCGCCCCAAGCCGGGCAAGTCCGGAGATGGGGAGCACTGAAGGCGGCGGCGGCTAGAGCGCTTCCCACGCCCACACCCACGCCTGCGCCCGCGCCCCTGCCCTGGTCCGGAGCCATGCCCACCTCTGCTCCTCGCCTGCTCCAGCTCCCGCCGCCGCCCCCGATGCCCGGGCCTCCCTCAGGGAGCCCCAGTCCCAGCGCTCACCCTGCTTTGACCAGGCAATCCGGCTCCGGCCAGGGCTCAGCTTGGCTCAGCTCAGCTCTGCTCTGCGCTACTCTGCTGCGAGGCTGGAGGAGGAGGCGGCCCGGCTCGGATCCCGGGCTCCGCTCGCGCTCCCCTCTTAAAGCCACAGTCGCCTCCACCGCCGCCGCCGCTCCGCATCCCTCCCGGACCGGGCCGGGGGCTGCCAGGTGACGGACGCGCCCCCGCGCCTATCCCCTCTGCTCGGCACATAGCAACACGCACCCGGTTGGCTGCGGGTGGCCGCAGCCCTTCCACGGGGAGCCAATCAGCTGTAGATGAAGCTCCGCCCCCCCTTCTTCCCTGCCCCCACAGCTCGTGCCAGTTGGGTTGCGGGGAGTGGACTGAGTTAAGGACCACACAGCCTGGGCCCTGGGTCGCGGCTGAGCTTTGCGTGGCCCGGGAGGCTCAGCCTCTTGGAGTCAGTCAGGGGAAGGGTGGTGGTAGGTGTCAGAGGAAAGAGGTGATCAGGGTGGGGTGTGCCTTCAGCGTCATATAGGAGATTGTTTATTTAGATTTGGGGTATATACCCTGGCCTTCTTGGCCGGCGTATGAGTTTTGCTTAGAGAGCAAGACTTTAGAGAAGAGGAGAAATAGTCATCCACAGCCTCTACACCCCGAGTCTGTGCTAGTTCATTCAGCCACTGGAGAGCTGCACTTTCGAGGGCGTGTGGTGGGAAGTGGGGGAAGGAAGGGGTATGCGATATATATCTATTAGGAAATGCTGGACTTTTTATATGGTTTTATGGATTCAACCTTGTGTACTCATGTCCTCCTGGGCTGGAAGGCAAAGCTAGAATGGCCTTCATCCTTGAGTTTTAATTCCTACCCAGACCCTCCTATACCTCTAAAATAACCCAGTTGGTGTCCAGGTCCGAAGTAAAATTTTCTCAGCACCATGGTCCCAAGGAAAGCACTATGAAGAAATATCTCCCAGACCTAGGGCCCAGAATTCTGCTCTTCAGAAGCAATAGATGTAGCCATAGTCTCCCAGCTTTGCTGAGAGGCATCCCTGTTGCCTCTTCTGAAATTTATAGGTGGGTGGGGTGAAGAGACGAGAGACTTTAGAAAGACGAGGCTGTGAGAAGATGCAACACATATCAGGGACTCCAAACACTCTCCTTGCAAGACACTGGGGGGATGGATTGGCTGTCCTTGCTGAGGTCCTAATTCCTCCTGCCTTGGTCCATAGCTCTTTCTCTGACCTGTAAGTTTACTTTCTCTGGGAAAAAGTTTTCCCCAATCTCAGAGTCTACTTTCTCCACACTGATCGGATGGTTGAAGGACGGATGAGGGTCAAGAAGGAGATGAAAGCAGGATAACAGAGAAGTCTTAAGCATTGCAGCTCCTCATGATGCAAAAACAGTCCTGCTAATAAAGTCTGTGCTTTGGGAGGTGGATGTTCACTGTCTCTCATCTACCCTCCTAGGAAGGAGGAGAAATTAAAGAAATAGATGGAACTATTTTGGAGAGCAATTTGGAACTATACCCAAAGGGCTATAAAAATGTGCATACCCTTTGACCCAGCAATAGCACTTCTAGGGCTGTATCCCAAAGAGAACATAGAAATTGGGAAAGGACCCACGTGTAAAAAATATTTATAGAAGTTTTTTTTGTGGTGGCTTAGAAATTGAGGGAATGCCCATCAATTGGGGAACAATTTGAACAAGTTATGGTATATGAGTGTAATGGAATACCATTGTGCTATAAGAAATGATGAACAGGCAGACTTCAGAAAAACCTGGAAAGACTTCTATGAACTGATGCTGAATGAAGTGAGCAGAACCAGGAGAACATTGTACACAGTAACAGCCACATTGTGCGATGACTAACTTTGATAGCCTTAGTCCTTTTTAGCAATACAAGGGTCTAAAACAACTCCAAAGACTCATGATGAAAAGTGCTGTCCACATCCAGAGAAAGAACTACGAAATCTGAATGCAGATCACGCATACTATTTGCTCTCTTTTTTTTGTTGTTGTTTTGTTTCCTCTTTCTGATGGTTCCTCCTATTGGTCCTAATTCTTCCTTACAACATCACTAATGTGAAAATATGTTTAATAGGAATGTATATGTAGAGCCTATATCAGATTTCGAGCCGTCTTGGGGCAGGGGAGAAAAATTTAAAACTCAAAAGTTTATGGAAGTGATTGTTGATAAATCAAAATACACTAATAAAAAAATTTGAAATTTTTTAAAAAAGAAAGTAAAGAAATAATAAGCCAGTTTAAACCCCCTGTAGCCAAGAAATGTCACAAGACCTGTGCCTGAGCAAACCATCTGTGGTGGGCTGTATTGTGGTGGGGCAATCCATAAATTCCATGGAATAGGTAGGCTAGCTGAGGGCTGAGTATGAAAGAGAGCTTTGGGATCTGTTTCAGATTCCACAAATTCACAGAGGACCTGGAGGTTTTGGATAGCAAACCTACTGGCAAAGGTCTTGCAATTTTTGTTTTTAAAAAGACACAGAGATTAAGTGGTTAAAAAAACAAACAAACATGGGATTGAGATTCAGAGTTAAGTCTGCTTCTGCCACTAATTTGTGGCATTAATTTGTGTGACCTCATGCACATCAATTAATTTCTTTAGGCCTCAGTTTTCTCATCTCTAAAATGGAAGAGTTGAACTAAATGATAACTAAGGTCCTATTGCATTCAAACAGTCTATGAATCTAACACTGTATTAGGTACTTCAGAGCACATAGCTGAATTCAGCTGCAGCACCAGACACGCATATGGGTTATACATGTGGTTGCTTAGCTCTGTTGTCTATGATATCCTTTGGGTTTTAGATCCCTCTATGGCTTATTTTGCAAACTGTGCCCCCTAACTCAAAGAGTATCATAGGATTTAGAGCTGGCAGAGACCATCTAATCCAACCTCCTCATTTCACAGAGGAGAAAACTGGGTCCAGAGAGAGGTAAGATAAAATTACTTACTTAAGGTTACAGAAGTAGCAAAGCCAGGATTCAAACTTAGGTGCTTTCAGCTCACCAGCTTCACTAACTGATATGCTCTTTCCACTGTACTATATGCCTCTACTTCCTTAATCCCAATGTGCACAAATGATGTCATAAAAACTCAGTTCTACTTTCTCACAAATCTATAGTTGGTCAGGAGTCCAGGGAAGAGTATGGATGGATCCATACAGAATCCAGACCTAGTACTGGGAAAAATCCAAAGGGCATATTCTCTTACTAACAATGCAATAGATACCATCATTTTTGTTAGAGGAAAATTCATCAGTATACATAGGAGGTGTGATCATTCTAACTTATATAACACATTCCTTCCTTCTTTGCCCTTCCAGGAGACTGCAAATTCTTTGAGGAAAGGAAGTAATTTTTTTTTATCTTTGTACCCTCAGCACCTATCCCAGTGTCTTGCACATAGTAGGTGTTTATTAAGTGTATTAAATTAAATATTTGCCATTCATCCATCTGCACCTTCAACCAGCATCTACACAAGTAGAAATCATCACCTATCTGGTAACATTTTTCAGATGGAGAAAGTCTAAAAATGAACAAAATACCCAGATGCATCCTAAGAGGCAAATAGCCAAATCTGATTTAGCAATGATGGCTGCAGGCAGGAGAGACTCCTAATCTAGAAAAGGGCGATAATGAGCACTGGTCCAGGCAAATATAAGGGGCCATCATCCCCACTTGTTACAAGGTTTCAGGAATACTTTTAAAGTGAAGTGGCATGTAGCCAATTAGCATCTGACACATATTAGTTTAACACTTTATGATACTGGCCAGTTATATAACAACATTGGTTACTACTGTTTCTGTTTAAGTAAAAAGTTAAAAGCTAAGAGAATGAGCCCCAGTTCTCAAAGTGAAATCTGAGGGCCCCTGCTGGTCTGTCTTGGTGTATCCTTGGAAGGTAACCTAAGGGGCCAGGAGAAAACAGCAGCAGAAAAAAGAGGATCAGGGGATTTAGAGCTAGAAGCACCTTAGAGAACATGTAGTTCAAATCTGTTTTACAAAGGATGAAACTGGAGTCCAGGGGAAGGGAAGTGACTTGCCCAAGGTCACATAGGAAGTAAGCAACAAAATTCAAATAGTTCATAGGCTTTTTACAAACAATGATGCATTACAAATTTATACAGAGGCAGCATGGCATAATGGATAGAGTACTGCACTTGGAATCAAGAATACCTGGATTCCAAAGTCATCATAAAAAAAAAGGGAAAAGAACCTACATGTACAAAAATATTTATAGCAGTATTTTTTGTGGTGGCAAAGAACTGGAAATTGAGGGAATGTCCATCAATTGGGGAATGGCTAAACAAGTTGTGGTTTATGAACGTAATGAATACTATTGTTCCATAAGAAATGGTGAGCAGATAGATTTCAGAGAAACCTAGAAAGACTTACATGAACTGACAATAACTGAAGTGAACAAAACCAGGAGAACATTGTACACAGTAACAACCCTGTGCCATGACCAATTTTGATAGACTTAGCTCTTCTCTGTGATGCAATGATCTAAGACAACTCCAAAAGACTCATGATGGAAAATTCTATCTACGTCCAGAGAAAGAACTACAGAGTCTGAATGCGGATTGAAGTATACTATTTCTCTTTTTTGTTGGTTTTTCTTTGTTTGTTTTGTCTTTCTCATGGTTTTTCCTTTCTGTTCTGATTCTTCTTTCATGATGAATTCTTCCACATGATGAATGTGGAAATATGTTTAACGTGATTGTACATGTATAACCTATACAGATTGCTTGCTGTCTTGGGGAGGGGAAAGGGAAGGGAGGGAGAAAAATTTGTAACTCAAAATCTTATAAAAGTAAATGTTGAAAATTATCTTTACATGTAATTGGAAAAAAATAAAATGCTATTAAGTAGGGGGAAAATGAATACCTGGGTTCAAATCCCAATTCAGATTTTTCCTAGCTGTGTTATTCCAGGCTTATTTCCACTGTAAAATGAGGGTAATAGCACTTATCTCAGAGCTGTTGTGAGGGTCAACTGAGCTAATTTAATTAAAGCTCTTTATAAACATTCATCTTGTTTATTCCAGTTTGAAGAAGATCTTTTCCCAACTTAGTCAAGGCATAAAAATGAACTGATTTACTGGGTATATTATCATTTACTTGGGACACACCCTGACAGGCTTCAGCTATTAGGTACCTACTGGGTGTCAAGCATAATGGAGATTGCAATAAGGAAG